AAAAATCGTAAGTAAGTAACCTCCCCTCCCCTCCCCTCCCCTCCCGTCAAATCGTCGCGGGGGTCGAGTAATCAACACTTGCGAATTACTGGTGGTTAGGTTTTTATATATATATATAAATTTTTATTTTTTTGTACACGTTTGTAAACAATTGTTTTGTAGTCCCGGAGAAATGCGCAGAATGTACAGAACGGACAGAGAATAATAATAGTAAAAAAAAAAAAAAAACAAACAAATTTTTAAAAATAATGAATAATAATCTAAATAAATCTAAATATATTATAGTATACATACTTTATGTACGACGCATTAAAAAAAAAGTTCCTAAATTATGTATTAATTATTATAGGAACACGTCAAACGGAGACTAGAATTTATAAGAAAAAATATATTTTTTTTGTTTTATTATTTTTTTTTCTTTTTTAATGAATTATCTTAGGTTTATATTACCTATATGTTCTGTTGATAAAAAAAAAAATAATAATAATAAAAATAAAAATAATGCGTTTTTTTTTAATATGTCGGCAGTAAAAAAAAAAAAAGAAAAGAAAAAAGTGCGTGAATGAACTGAATATATTTCCGAAAAATAAAATCGCCGCTTCCGCAAAACCGAAATTAAAAAAAAAAAAATTAAACATTTAAATTTTTGATTTCGTTTTTGAGAGAAACGCGGAGATTGCGAATAAGAAAATATCTGAAACCAACACGCGCGCATACCCCGTCGTAACGTCGACCCGTACCGATCAGTGGAACACTTAAATATTTTTTGTTTTACGCGAAAAACAATTTTCAAAATATTTACGAACCCGACTCATCGAACCGATCGGGGGAGGGGGGGCGACGGCATCAATGAAAATCGAATTTTATCGGAGGGGAAAATATGCGGTTTTCATTGATACGACGGTGTGTGGCGAATCGCACGCGACGGTCGGCGGTTACGAAAAAAAAATACAGTCGATAGTAAGTAGTTAAAAAAAAAAAAATAGTCTGAACGGGTGATTTTTTAAAAACATCATAATTTTCCTGTTATTTTTTTTTTCTTTACGATAAATCCTATATATATATTTATTTATCTAAATTTATATATATATAAGTTTTACTTAAAGATAATAATAATAGACAAATCATTTTTTGAGGTTATTAAATTTTTTTTTTTTCTTTTTGCGTTTTCAAATTTGTACTCTAGATTTATTACACAAACAGCAACGGCGTGCGCGGCCTAACTGTGCGGTACGCGGGCTATATGAGCGAAAAACGAAAACTTGTCTCCGGTGATCTCGCCGCACAAGTTGCACGCGAACGGGTCCCGGAAGCTGTGGAAACCCATGTGCATGGAGTACATGATGCTCTCTTTGAATATGATGTCGCAATGGTGACAGACGTGCGTCTCGTCGTCCTTTTCGGGCGAAGACGATGACGACTGCTGTTGCTGTTGCTGTGGTTGTTGTTGCTGCTGCTGCTGCTGCGCGACCTGCGTAATACTGTTTTCTTCTTTGACCGACGTCACCGACAACTGTTGTTGCGGTTGCGGTTGCTGCGGTTGAGGTAAATCCATCTTGGGCGGCTCGGGACAGTTCACCCAGGCGGGCGGCTGCTGAACGGGCGAAGTGACCTTTGCGGCCGCCGGTTCGATGGCCGGACGTTCTAGTTTGCACGCTATGCCTTTGCGACGGCTACTACCGGCCGCCCGAGGCATAACCGACGAGTCCTTGCTCAGGTTCAACGGACCCGTTTCGATGACGGCGACGGCCACGGACGTGACGAGCGGCTGATCGTAGGATACGGCCCAGTCGAATGTTCGTTCGCCGCCGCTGCTGCTGCCGCCGCCGCCGCCACCGTTATATTCGACATTTACCGCGTCGTCGCCGGGATGCAACGACGGATGGTAGTGATGGTAGTCCATCTTATCGTCGACCGCCGTCGAGTTGTTATTGTTGTTGTTGTTGTTGTTGTTCTTGATGGCCAGATATTCGGCCTGGTATTCGACCATCTCTTTGTGTTTGGAGATCATCGAGTACAACGAACTCGTGTACCCGGCCGAGGACACTCCGGGCGTCTGCAGTAATTGTTGCATCGAGTACGGGGACGGGTGTCCGCCACTGCTGTTGCCGCCGCCGTCCCGGTCTTCTTGCGACGAAGACACGGCCATCGGCTGTTGTTGCTGTTGCTGCTGCTGCTGCTGCTGTTGCTGCTGCTGCTGCTGCTGCTGTTGCATTTGGTGGTGGTGGTGTTGCTGCTGTTGTTGGTAAGGCACGAGCCTGTTCTGTTTCTTGTTCTGACGGGGACCGCGACGGTTTCCCACCACATCGATGACGATGTCCGGGTTGGGCGTGCCGTCCGGGTTGAGCGGCGTCGCGGGCCGGTGATCGCGTTTCTTCAGGTGTTGCTTCAGACTGTGCATGTACTTGGAAGCGTATCCGCAATCGTAACACTGGAACTGAAATATGTTGGAGTGCGATTTGAGGTGCGACTGAAGCATCGACTTGCTCACGCACTTGTAATCACAATCGGGACACGTGAACGGTTTGGCTCCCGTGTGGTTCAGCAGGTGATACTCGTAATGGTGTTTCAAGTCGGTGACAAACTCGCAGTTCGGGCACTCCAGCAGCTGTTCCGGTTTGATATGAGTGCGGATGTGCTTCCAATACTGCACTTTTTCGACGCACTCCAGCCCGCAATGCTTGCACTTGTGCTTTTTCGGCTTTTGTTCCTTGTTATTATTATTGTTATTGTTGTTGTTGTTGTTGTTACTACCCCCGCCGCCGGTCACCGATCCCTCGGTGCTTCTGGGTTTCGGGATCTTGATGTCGAAGTCTTCGCATCCGGACAAATCCCGGTAACTGGACGTCGGCGAGCTAGCCGAACTCCGGCCGCCTTCCGAATCGTCTTGGTGCATGTCGGCCGTCAACGGGTGATTTAACGTCGGCTGATGGTGCTGCAGATGGTGATGGTGATGGAGGTCCATCGGCCGGGACAAGTCGTACGGCGAATGACTAATGATTGGCTGGTGATCGTTTTCCAAAAACATTTTTCTGCAAAACGACAAAAAAAAAAAAAAAAAAAAAGGG